GCCAGTAAGTGGCTGCTTTTTGTTGTATACATGTTAGATGATCAGGCCTCAAGAAAAGTATAAAGAGACCCTGTGCTTTCTGGGATTCAAAGAACCACACTCTTTGGGTGAAGGGTAGCCAGGTAAAAGTGGCCCGGATAAAGGGAGCTTATATGCCCCTAACTCTACATAACCTGCAAGATCTAACTAATAACTGGAATCTTGGAAACACCTATAGTACATCCTTGGCTAAGGTTAGCCCCAACAGAGAGGGCTCTCCCCTGATAGAGAACTGTTACATTTGTGCCTTCATCCTAGACTAGAAAAGGCATGATCAGACTACTTAAAAAGACATCAAGAAAGGGTCTGTGACATCTGAGGGAATTGGTGGCCCTCTCTGGGATGTTGTTTGGGGACAAGGGACATGGAGGAATGCCTGCTTTAAATGGTCATTCAGGAACCCAAGCTGATAGAAAATTTGTATTTTTGATCTTTGGCTTCCAAGGTTACTCCAGTCATTGAAGTCTCCATTGCAGCCTTAAGGAAATAGAGAATGGTTTGGAGGAGCACATGTGGGAATTTTTATGGACCAGGCTTGAGATGCACATAGGGCATTTCTGATCCAACCTAGCTGGAAGCAGGGCCAGGAAATGTAATCTAAGGAAGACAGTTTTTGTAGACAGTAGTCTGTGTACCTGATACATGTGGATTATCAAACTATTAATTAGAAAAAATATAGCTGGGCACAGTGGCTCATGCCTGTAATCCCAGCACTTTGGGAGGCCAAGGTGGGTAGATCATGAGGTCAGGCGTTTGAGACCAGCCTGTACAACATGGTGAAACCCCATCTCTACAAAAAGTACAAAAATTAGCCAGGTGTGGTGGTACGTGCCTGTAAACCCAGGTACTCAGGAGGCTGAGGCAGGAGAATCGCTTGAACCTGGGAGGTGGAGGTTGCAGTGAGCCAAGATCACGCCACTGCATTCCAGCCTGGGTAACAGAATGAGACTTCATCTAAATATATATATTTATATTATATGTATATATATATTAATATTATATGTATAATATATATATAAATTAGAGGAAATTTAGATGAAGTCTCACTTCATCTATATATATGTATATACACTTATATTTATATATACTTATATAAAATATATATTATATATTTATAGATATATAACATAAATATATATTTTATTTTGTTATATATATTTATAATATATATTTATAATATATATTAATTTATATATATATTATATAAATTATATGTAAATATAAAATTATATAAATTTATATAATATATATATTATATTAGTATATATATATTCAAAAATATTGATAGCTAACATTTATTCAACGCTTACTATACACCAGGAAATGCACTAAGTGTTTTACATGATTAACTCATTTCATCTTAACAATAGCCCACTAAGTTAGTGCTGTTATTATGTCCATTTTACAGATAAGGAAACTGAGATACAGACAGGTCAAGTAGAGAAATGACCATACTTGCATTCTCAGTTTTTAAAGCAACTCCTACAGGAATCTGGTGTGAGAAATGCTCTAACAAGGGTTGAGTCAGGGGTTGGGAGGTACTGAGTCTGAGTTGGGCAGATGAGGATGGAAGAATGAATGGGGTGAACATGAAGAACGGTTTGACAGCAAAGCTGGCACTTGGCAATTTCGTGGGACCTTGAAGGGTTAGAGGGACTTCACCAGAGAAACTGGTGGTCAGGAAAACGGGAGGGCCACGGCAAGGAGGGAAAGGAAACTACCACAGCAGAGAGTCTGAAGCTACTGCAGTGTGTTCAGGGCATGAAAGGATAATTTTTTAAAGGTAAACTTATAATTTCATGCAAATACAAAATGAACAGATGTCAAAGATCTTATTTATTAATTAATGAGGGAAACTGTAAGATGTTACAGCTCATTCAAAGGATAATTCAAAGAAATCCACACAGATATATGGGCAATGAGGAATGCTGAAATGAATTTAAAAATAGATGCAAACTGATTTATCCACATAGAAAGAATCAGTTGCATTTCACATGACATGATTCAGTTGCTTTTCTACAGAAGGAATTGTTTGCATCATTATCAATTTTCTAAAACTAACAACTATAAAATAACTCAAATATAATGAAAGGCAGAGATAATCCAGAATGGTATGATAGATACAACACCCAGGATTTTTTTTTTCTCATTTCAAAGTCTTTCACAATTTTTCCTGATAAGGGAGTGTCAATCATACCATATGGCAGGCAATAAGACTGGATGGATGGTTGGGACCAGATTTTAAGGGGTAATAAATGCCATGTAAAGGTACATGTATACTATGCAACATGTCAGGGAATCTCAAATTATTGGTAACGTATGTAAGAAACACTTGTGGAGCTTGTTAATAAATTTAAATTCCCAGGCCCAACTCCTCAAGGGTCTAATACAGTAGGTTTGGCATGAAGTCTGAAAATCTGCAACTGTATAAAAAGCAACACAGGTGATTCTGATACACTTTGAGAAGCACTGGTGGAACTAATAGTTATTGAACATTTTTGAGCAGAGTAGAAACCAAGGACGTCTATGTTGCAGCAGTGGAAACTTGATTAGAAGTGGGAGAAGATGCATGGCCTTAAAAGACTGCAAAATGATGACTAATATTCGAGTGCTTATCATGGGCCAGGGGCTATGCTAGGCATATGGCACATATTAAATATGATGGAAGCCTGTACCAGTCAGTATTAGTGGAATATCTTTAAGAGGACGGGAATTAAGGGGAGTTTTCACCACAGCCTGAGGACTCTGCCTCCTTCTTTCAAATTCAGACACAATGCTGTCCCTATGCATTTGCCTCCAGGCTGTTCCTGGGCCTGGGGGACTGGCCCAGGCTCCTAATAATAGAGATGCCCAGCAAGGTAAAGCCTGGATTTTGGAACTCCCTGAATGTTACTCAGGCTTTCTAGTAACTGTGCATATTTGAACAATAAAACATTCTAAGTTCCCCTACTCATACAGCTGCTCATCATTTAGATGGGGTAGAGCACCTGAAATACATGGGCGTCACTATTTTCACTCATCCATGAAATGAACGTTCCAGGGAGATACAGTACATTGATGTATCACCCTTGAACAGGGCAAAATGAATACTCACCAGGAATATGTGGTATTTTAAAAGGAAGGCAAAGGAAGAATAGTGGGGTGGGATAAAAACTTTCAATAGATTCCCCCAATTATATATGGCAATGGCAATTGAAGATAATTAGATTATCATTTTAATTGAGTAATTCTCATGGAGCCCTCATTATTTGAAAATGAATTGCCTCCTAATTGTTAGTGTGCAAATATGATACATTAAACTTAAGCTATTTTAACAACACATCCGTTTTCAGAAGCGGTAGTAGGTTCTCCCAGGTCAGATTTGATAAGCCATAAAGAAGAAATGCCAACTCCTATTTTTCCATGGTGCTGGGAAATAAGAGAATACTTCAAAGCAATCATTAAATTTTATCCAGTAGCTTGATTCTCCTCTCTCTTCTAGCCTTTTACCTAAGCTGTTACCAAGTAACCACACTGATTGGCTTGAGTCTCACCACTGTTTCCTTGACCCCGCAGTGGAGAGACTGCATCTATTAAAGAGTAGTTATGTAACCATGGCTATCCTGAGCTGGGATTCTCAAAGCTTAGGTTCTGGTTTTTTCTTTGACCTTCACCAAGACACCTGAGGTCTGCACGGAACCACAGGCTTGTCATCTCTAAGACAGAGTTGATAATTCCATCTTGAGCCCACACTGAGAAAAAGAGTACATGACTACAGTTATTTGAATGCCTCATGGAAAGACGTCTTATAAATATTATAATTAATGTTATCATTAAGTATGGCTTCGATGCAGATCTTCCGAGTATAAATATCAGCTGAGTAAGAAGTCAATTTTCCCTGAAGCAAAATTGAAATTTGAAAATGTGAGTTCTGGGAGCTTATTTGATACATGATTCCAGAGTGTCCACAACACACACAATGTCTTTTTTCCCTAAATGGACTGTTTACAACAAAGCTGGATTTACAATATTTATTTCCAGGGATAACTAGAACTTTAATAACAAAGCTTGGGCTAGGCATGGTGGCTCATGCCTGTAATCCCAGCACTTTGGAGGCTGAGGCGGGTGGATTACTTGAAGCCAGGAGTTTGTGACCAGCCTGGCCAACATGGTGAAACCCCATCTCTACTAAAAATACAAAAATTAGCTGGGTCTGGTGGCGAATCTCAGCTACTAGCGAGGTTGAGGTATGAGAATCTCTTGAACCTGGCAGGCAGAGGTTACAGTGAGCTGAGATTGCACCACTGCACTCCAGCCTGGGTGACAGAGTGAGACTCTGTCTCAAAAAAATAAAAAATAAAAAAATAATAATAAACCTTGAAGAAGGGTTTCTAAAATGTTTTCATCTAATGGTTTTCATGATAATTACATTTTCCGTATAATATAAATTCATACAAAAGCTCAGAACCACCACATGTTATATCAACCACTTGAAAGAAAATATGTCTATTTGCAAACATATGCACAATACTGTCTTTTGTCTGGTTAGTTTAGAGTTAGAATAAACTACTGTGGTGTGTTGTAGTGAACAGAGAACAGAAACTAGGAGTCAGGATGTCTGGACTCCTAGGAAGGAATGAAAAGGCTGCATGGAGCAGCTGGAGATTATTCGAAGTGTGGTGCCCAGACCAGCATCATGGGTATCCTCAGGGAGCTTGAGGACATCCATGCTCCCTAGGATATCCTCAGAATTCCCTAGGTGTGGAGTCCTGAAATCTGTCTCTTACTAGGCTTTCCTGGGATTGTGATGTGCCTTAGAGTTTGACAAGCATTGGGTAGCTGATCCTGGCTTAGACTTGTCAGGTACGTGATCTTGAACAAGTCACATAATCTCACTGAGTTCAGTTTCCTCATATTTAAAATAGGCCCAATAATATCTATTTCATGTGGATTGCTTTGAGGATTAGGCAAGAGGTGTGTACCTGACACTGTAGAACAGTATCTCTGGTCTGCAGTTGATTTTCAATAAATGGTAATTGTGCTGATTCTCTGCTCTGCTGCAAAATAGCTGGTTAAACACGAGCGAGTAATTTGGCTGTTCTCAGTTTAGTTTCTTCATCTGAAAAGGAGGAAAATAATTGTTATATTCAATTTATGAGGTGGCTATCAAAATCAGTTGAAATTCTGTGGAATTTTCATGGAAGCTCTTTGTATATCCTATAAAGACTGTACATCTAAGGGATTCATGAGACCAGGTTGATGATTTTAAGCACAGGGTAAATAGTACCACTGACCCTGTTCTATGACCACATGGAAACTCTAAAGAATATCCACATTTGAAACACAGGTATCATCTGGGGAAGGTGATCTGCTCACCCAAACCAGTTCATAAACATTGGCCTCCAGTGGTGTGCTGGAGCTGGCTATACCAGCCAAGTGTATTTTTAGAAATTTTGTTTGCTGGTTGTTAAAAATAGTCATTATTTTAAATTATGTAAACAAACTTATAATATTAGATAAAATAAGTTAAAATAAAAACAAAGGTACTAATTATCCCCACATTCTTCCTAATTATTTTACTATCTGTGCCTTGGGATTATTTACATTGATTTTATCCATATGGCGACAATACTATTCCTATATAAATGGTGTGCTTCTCTTCCTAATGCTACATAGCCTGACGTCAGGCTAGTAGCTTGAAACTGGCCACAGTAGGAGTACAAGTATTGTACCCTGAAGCTTGTTCAAGGCTACAAATCCAGACTTAAAATTTTCCTCCTGGAGAGCTGTCTGTTAAAAATTTACCAACACACCACTGGTCTTACCTTTGTTAATTTACCACAGTCTAGGTTCTGACCCTATACTTAGAAACCCAGCTTTGTTAGTAAGCTGAGAATAGAGCCATTTTTTTCTAGGAAGGACTCACATTACCCAAGTGCAAAGCCTGACATATACCTTCAGAATATCAATTTATTAGTTTGCAGTGAGGAAATCTGCCCCAGGGCATTCCCCAAGGGAAGGTAAAAAGAGCTAGGTACACATTTTGAATGTTTAATGACAGAAGGCTAAGGTGACACAGAATATCCATTTCCACAACGGAGATACCCACTGCCTTAAGGAAGGGACAGGCAAATCCTTGGGCAGGACCTTAGATTATCACTGTCCAACTTGCTCTAGGACTCTCCTTTCCAGGCTTGACTGTGGCTGACTCTCTTCTCCTACCTTACTAATGGAATTATCCTTTTTTCTTTTTTGAGACGAAGTCTCCCTCTTGTCCCCAGGCTGGAATGCAGTGCTACGATCTTGGTTCACTACAACCTCTGCCTCCCAGGTTCAAGAGATTCTCTTGCCTCAGCCACCTGAGTGGCTGGGATTACAGAAGCCTGCCACTATACCTGGCTAATTTTTGTATTAGTAGAGACGTAGTTTTACCATGTTGGCCAGGCTGGTTTTGAACTCCTAACCTCAGATGATCTGCCTGCCTTGGCTTCCCAAAGTGCTGGGATTATAGGCATGAGCCACCACGCCTGGGCGGAATTATCCTTTCTTGACACATGGCAATGCTTCCAATCAGAGGCTCGTAGCTATTTTTCAGCTTCAGGGCGGTATTTTTCAAATGGAAGTTCATGGACTGTATGCATCTGTATCATTTAGATGTATATTAAAAATGCTTAGTGTTGAAAAAACACACGCTTTGAATGAAGAGACCTTCCAAACAGGCTTTGTGTGAGCAACATGGTTGTTTATATAGGTGCAGGTGGACTAAGGCTGAAAAAGTCATTAGCAAAGGGTGGGGGGATAGGAGTTGGTTTTATAGGTTTGGATAGTCTTTTTGGGGGGTGGGGGTGTTGCAGAATAAGATCAGTTACAGTGGCCAGGGGTAGGGGACAAGGAATAGACATGACCACAAGTTCAGTTACAATGGCAGGGTTGGGTGAGAGGTATTTACATTATCATAAGAACAGTTAAGATGGCAGGGTTGGGTGAGGGGCTTATCTGGGGAAGCTCCACCGGGCGATCAGGGACAATGGTGAATGCAGGCAGTGGGTGGGAGACTTCAGCCGAGGCAAGCAGGACTTCAGACTTTCAGGCTCCAGGCTTATATATGGAGACTTGACACTTAGGTCTTCCCCGTGTCAAGACACTAGGTCTTCTACTAGATCAGAATCTCTGCTGGTGGGCGCCACAAATCTGTATTTTCAACAAATCACTAGGTAATTTCTATATATACTATAATGTGAGGACCACTGCTTGAAGGTTTCTTTGCATATTTCCACTAAGTACAAAAAATACTGGCTTCTAGATTTAACTTCCGAAGCACTTTCATTTTAAGTTTCTGGTGACATTGTATTATGGTATCCCTATACCACTCACACTCTAATTAGGAGGGATATTGTGGACTGAATGTTTGTATCCCTCCAAAACTCTTACGTTGAAATCATAACTTCTAACGTGATGGTATTAGGAGATGGTGCCTTCTATGGGTGATGTGTCATGAGGGTAGAGCCCTCATGAATGGGATCAGTGCCTTTAGAAAGGGATCCCAGAGAGCGCCCTCACTGTCTTCCCATCACATGAAGATGCAGTGAGAAGTTGCTGGTCTTGCATCTGGAAGAGGGCCCTCACTCAAGATGCTGGCACTTGGTCTCAGACTTTCAGCCTCCAGAACTGTGAGATGATAAATTTCTGTTGTTCATACACCATCCAGGCTACAATATTAGGTTGGTGCAAAATATTTGCAATTTTTGCCTTTACTTTTAAGGGCAAAAACCGCGATTACTTTTGCACCAACCTAATATTTTGTTGTAGCAGCCTGAACTAAGGCAAGGGAGACTACATCGGACAGTGTAGCTCTGTAAATACAAATGTATTCTTGTTCAGGAGAACTAAGTTCTAACCCTGACTTCAGGCCAGTAGCCACCTTTTCAGTCTATTTCATGAAGGGACCACCCATTATCATTACCACTGGTGGCGAAAATAGAGGCAAGAGAATGGAATTTGCTTTTCTGTGCAATCTCAATGTATACAGATTGAAGAGCAAGGGTTTGCTTTCATCTCTAAGAAGGAATGTGCCAGTCTCTAGACTTAGAAACCTGGGGACTGCCAGTCGCTAAGACCTGGCATGTTATCAGAGAAAGAATCATTCTAGCTCAGTGGGTCTTACTTAACCAAGAGTGAATTTGACTTCGGGGAATAGCTGGCAATGTCTGGAGATGTTTCTACTTGTTACAACTGTGGGATGAGTGGGTGGGTTGCTACTGGCATCTAGTGGGTGGAGACCAGAGGTGCTGTTAAACATCCCGCAAAGCACAGGACGGTCCCCCACAACCAAGAATTATCTGGCCCAAATACCAATAGTGCCAAAGTTGAGAAACCTCATTCTAGCTCTTTTCCCCTTCTACATTCTAGTCAACTCTTGTCCTCTCAGCATTAGGATTCATCTAGCAATCTCTTGCCCCAGCAATTTGTTGAAATTTTTAAAAAACCTGAATCATTTTAATGTCACAAGAAAAAAATAAATTCACATGAAAGGATGGGTCATTATGTTTAATGATGTTTTGCCTTTCACATAGCAGGAGCTTAATAAAAATTTTTAAATTAAATGGTGAATAGATTAAAACATTAATTTCACATATGTTTTAATAAATAACGGGAAGATGGCTATATTACATAAATTGCTCTTGTATATGTCTTGAGTGGATCATCAAACACAAATGCATCTACATGCTTTTTCCTGTGAATAGATCTAATAATAATGCTGTTCTAAAAACAAATTAAATGGATATTATTTGCTGAGAATATAATGCTAATAGAAGCCAGCCCTGAATCCAAACCCCCAAATCTATTTAAAGAATTTGAAGAATGTCAGAAAAGCATGTGGCTTCAGGTTAATGTGTAAGATTTCCAGAAACTTGAAAAATCACTATGACTAAAAAGAATGAGCTCCCTGCATGGCTTTAAATTGGAATGATAGCCAAAACCAGTTAATTATAAAAATAGCTAATTTAACAGTTTTTCAAATTTGCTTCTTTCTCCAACTAGCATATACTCAATAATCCTTAAAGAGAAAGTGAAGAAAGGAAAGCAATTAGCTTTTTCATACCTGCCCAGCTCAAATGCAGAGTTCTCTGCCTGTAAATGGAGTGCTTCCATAGTTCAATCGCCATAGAGAGATGGGAACAGAGGGAGATGTATAATCTCAGACTTGATTCAGCTGTAGAGAATGATGATAGTGTCAGAGGCCTTTCAACCAGAGCGATTCCATCTTGAACAGGGGCTGGTTAAAACAGGGCTGAGACCTACTGGGCTGCATTCCCAGGAGGTTAAACATTGTACGTCACAGGATGAGAAAGGAGGTCAGCACAAGACCTTGCTGATAAAACAGGTTGTAATGAAAACCAAGATGGCCATGAGAGTGAACTCTAGTTGTCCTCACTGCTCATTATATGCTAATTATTATGTATCAGCATGTTAAAAGACACTCCCATCAGTGCCCTGACAATTTACAGGTGCCATAGAAGTTACCCTCTATGATCTAAAAGGGGGAGGAAACCTCAGTTCCTAGAATTGCCCACCTGTTTCCTGGAAAACTTGTGAATAATTCACCCTTGTTTAGCATATAATCAAGAAATAACTGTAAGTATCCTTAGGTGAGAAGCTCAAGCTGCTGCTCTGCCTGTGGAATAGCCATTCTTTTATTCTTTTACTTTCTTAATAAACTTGCTTTCACTTTACTGTGTGGACTACCCCTGAATTCTTTCTTGTAGGAGATCCTCTCTTCGGGTCTGAATCAGGACCCCTTTCCGGTAACAATAATAGTGAGGGGTCAGGGAGACTAGACAAAGAAGTTTTAAAAAGCGTTAGATAAAGGGCCCCCATCATTGTCATAACATAAAATCAAGGACTCCTAGAATTTTATAGCTGATACGATTAGAAATTTCAAAAATCAATTTCATCAATTTTCATCTGGGAAAACAGATGGCCAGAGAGGCCAAACAATTTGTTGAAGAGCACTGAGTGTAAACCTCTTAGCAGAGTATACAAGGCCTTTGATCTCCTCAGTCAAAATGAGCTAGAGCTTTCCAGGGTACCCTTTCTGATTGTTCAGCATGTGTGCCAGTCCAACTAATTATGAAGTTGTTTAAATATCTGTCCCTTCCACTGTATCGTAATCTCCTCATTCATCTTCAATCTTCAATGCCTTGAACTCTATAAATGATGACTGAACAAAAGTTGAACCCAGGATTTCTGATCATAATCTGGTGTACTTTAAAATTGTCAGCTTACTGGGAAACAGGATAATATGTGATTTGTATTTAATTTGTTTTTTGTTTGTTTGTTTTTGCTCATATACTTTTTCCACCTACACGTGCTACACAAATGTTTTCAAAATCTGATACAAAAATTAAAATTAAAAAATTAAAAAAATTAAATTTGATACAATGCTACATTTAGATTGTTGTGATTAGATTTCTTAAGTGTATCATGGTGATCTCTACATCGCATGGTGATCAAATTGTTTTGGGTTTTAACACATAACTGACAAAGGCTTGGGGATGTGTAGATCCCAAATAGATTTTTACTAATTTTTGTTTTTCTTGTTGGTTCTTTTTTAAATAACTTTTTTTTTTGTTATAAGAGTAATTCATGTTCATTGGAGAAACCATAGAAAATAGTGATAAGTGAAGGAATAAATTTAAAATGACCCATAATTGTACCATACATTCTGATTTTTTAAACTCTGAAGTTCAAGTTTGGAGAAGGGTAGCTGACTTAAGAAATTATCTAGCTAGACATTTTCTTGATGGGGTAATTTTACAGATGACATTAGTGAGGGGCGTGGGAGGATATTGGGACCAAATTTCCAATCTTCAGCAAAGAATCAAGGGAGAAGTGCTAAAACCTAACAATATTCCTCTGGATGGACATTTATTTTATTACTACAATAAGCCACACAGTGAGTCATAAGGGGCATTTCATTATTCTAATATGTCTCTACTGTATTTAGAATCTGATAAAGCCCCTATTAGAATTCATCTCTTTAAGAATAAAAGGAGCTGAGGAACTAAAGAGGGGGTTGGAATAATCCATTAATTATATCCGTTAAGCTTCAGTTACGATAATAAGGAATATCACATGACCGTGGTGTGTGCTTGTTCTGAACAGTAAAGTACATGAGGAAAGATACGATTCAGGGCTGAAATATCCTTCAGTGCTGTGTTGGTAGTGGTGATGGAAGTCATTAAAAGAAAAATTGATTGAGGTATTTTAGTAAACAAAAGAACTCACCACTTACCCATCAGGAAGTGTATTGTTAATGTAGTGCTGTTCAGTTTCTTCATGCTTCTCTATTTAGCTTAATTCTTATCCTGTCACTTTTCAGGCAAAATTTAAAAAAAAAAGATTAAAAACGATGGTCCTATTTTATTTGCTTCAAAAGAAACAGGCTGTTGCATTGTGCTTAGAGTTTACTCCCAGCCTTGATGTAAGTGTGAAAGGAAGACCATGTAATTGACTAGGCAGTCTCTGAAGAAGCAGGAAATACAGTGTTAAGAAAATGAACAGGCATGAAATCCATGGCTATTCGATAAAAGTAAATAATTCCTGCAGTTCATATGTTCTCAGCATATTTTCTTTGATACTGACTTGCTTAATACAACAATAGCAGAACCGTGGTAGCTTGTAGGCATTACTTTTCTTTTAATTTCTTTTACATTTTGAATTGACCAGCACTCACATTTGTATTACTTTTGGGTTATACTGAGGATCTATAATTTTTACAGATTAAATACCTGACATATATGTGCATTCTGTGAAGTCTCAGGGCAGAACTAGAACATTCTTATGAACATCAGTATCAGATATTAACATGGAAGTTTTGCCTAAGAGTGAAAATACCACAGTCCAAAATGAATGCCAGAACACCATACAGGATTTAAATATATATACATATATATGCGTGTGTATTATATATATTTAATATGTATCTGTTTGGGATAGGATGAGGTGGGGAGAAATCAGTTTTACAATTCTTAAGTATTTCACCCTTGATAAGAGTATATACATTGGAAATCGGTTGGAAAGTATTTTTAAAGAAAAATGTTGATGTGCTATGAATGAATCCACCTCTACCACCATAGAGGCAGGGTAGGAGAGGCCTGTGCTTTTCAAGCATAGTTGGGAAAGGATCTCAACCAGACCACTTCAAGAGTCTAATGTGTGGAGACTGTTGCTTACAGGGACATTATGGTCTAGTTTCTCACTCACAGCTAAGTCAGGGAGACAGGTTGGGTGTTCTGATGGTGGAGTCCAGAAGACAGCCTGCATTGAAAAGCCTCATGAGTGTTGACTTAGGCCGAGTTTAAGAGGTTCCTGGAAGAACAAACACTCAGTAGGAGAGAAGCTAGAGGTATCTTCAGTGCTGAATGTGGGGTAAGCCACCAATTGGAACCTAGGAAAGATGCCCCGTGATAGAGACTGGGGGTGTCTCTAACAATTACCCACCCACCTGCCCCCACCCCCAAGAAAAAGAAAATCACATACAACCAGTCAGCTGTAAATACATGCTGAGCCTAGAAAACTCAGATACTAAGTTATCAGGGTACCTGGCAAGTAAGAATATCTCTGCTTCCCTTCCCATCTCTCCTCTTTCTCTTCCAACCCTAGTGGCTAGCAAGATGGGGAGAGGAGGAGAAGCCATCCATCAGTGGGGAACAAGGAGCTTTCTCTCCTTCGTCAACTGCTGGATTCTCCCTTGTCATAGGCCTGAGCTGGGGAATGGGGAAAAAGTGTTCTTTTAAAACTGAAAATGTAACATTATCGTCTAATTTTAAAACATTTAAAATTTTGACAATGTTGAGATTAGATATATTAATTATTAAAATAAGATCATGTTTTGCTGCTTGAAGTGATAAGAAAATTCTCTTATCTTGGAGCATCTAGGAAAGTTGGGGGCTCCCTGACCGTCCTTTTAAATCCTTTGGAAGTCAGCTTTCAAAGAGGATTTAAAGTGCAGACCGGGCCTTCAGAAACTTGATTAACGTAGTGGTTTCCTATGCAGAGTTGGGGACTATACCTTGTGTGGAAGAGAGGAAATAAGATTATCTTGCATTTTTCCCATCCTTTTTCAAAAAAGAAAGCTCAGCTAGCATAAAAGTTAAATTCAAAATGTAATGGGTATTATTTACATATTCAAGTCTTGTGCATATCATGTAAGCACTGAATTATGGTATTCATTATTTCAAATGACAAGCTGGATTTTTTTTTTTTTCTTTTTCACAAATTAATTTTTCTTGCAATCTTTTGGTTTGGGCTTTAAGATTTTAGGCTTTCATCGTGAAAAGATGACAGCATTCAAGATTAAAGCGCGTGGTTCTTCTTAAGATGTTCTCAGTCCAGCAAAGGATTCTATGCATATTTGGGCTTCCTTCTATCTCATAACCTGTATTTCTTGATATTCTATTTATAGTCTGTGAAATTTTTTTTAAGGGGAAAATTCTTCCATGGTTGAAGGACATGTCAAAGGATAGCGGATACAGTTTTATATCAAAGGAAGTTTCATGTTATGACTTTAGAAGCCCATTTGACTTAAGACACATCATTTCCTCATGGAAGTATTAAGTAGATCTGTACAATAAGGTTGGCAATCTGTGCAAAATACAGTTTTTTTCTTCCTGCCCTAAAGAAAGTATATATTTCAAAATGTAAATCTCAGCAGTCAGAAAATAGGTTTTTTATTACTTCGTTTTCAAAGTCCTCAAAAACTTGTACCTAATCCCAGATTGTTTCCCCCCAGATTGTTTCTTCTCACTCCCAGAAACAAGTTTTTCTTTTTTTCAGTTTTTTCTTTTTTTTCAGATGGAGTGTCATTCTCTCTCGCCAGGCTGGAGTGCAGTGGTGCAATCTCGGCTCATTGCAACCTTCGCCTCCTGGGTTCAAGCAACCCTTCTGTTTCAGCCTCCCAAGTAGCTGGGACTACAGGTGCGTACCACCATGCCCAGCTAATTGTTGTATTTTTAGTAGAGACGGGGCTTCACCATGTCGGCCAGGCTGGTCTCAATCTCTTGACCTCATGATCACCCACTTCACCCTCTCAAAGTTCTGGGATTACAGGCATGAGCCACTGTGCCCAGCCATGAAGTTTTTCTATATGACACCAGGACCATGTCTTTTTTATAATTACACAGAGATGAAAGAACGTGTGTCGTATCATTAACCAAACACAAAATCTTGAAGCTGTATTTTTTTTTTAACTTTGTTTTGCAAAGAAGCCATTCTCCTTGGGTAAAGTAATTTGTTATTCACAGTTTCCTTGTCCTCATATTATAAAGGGAAAACTGTAGAAATTTTAAAGGAAGCTCTAGGCAATGTTTTCATCCCTGAATCTTTGGGGAGTTATAAAAACAAACAGATTACTGAACCTGTAAGAGAACCAATCGTGAAGTCATTACATCTAAGCATAAGCAAAATCTCCTCTTGGATCATTAAGTTATAGAAGAATAGAAAGCCTGCATTTTGAGATTCAGATAAAGCTGGGTAACTTGTAAGTCAAACAAGTAAAATTTTACAATTCAGGAATATTGATAGCAGTTTAATTTAATAGACTTTCACATTCCAAATTTAAAGCTTCCTTTGCTGTGCTAATAGAGGTACAACAGCAGTATGCATTTAAGAAGAATGAATCCACAATTTAAACCTATAATGTGTTTTTTATTCAGCTCCCTTCTTCACATATATTTGTTTTGTGTTGTTCTGTTTTGTTTTGAGAAGGAGTCCTGCTCTGTCACCAGGCTGGAGTGCAGTGGCACGATCTCTGCCTTCCAGGTTCAAGCAATTCTCCTGCCTCAGCCTCTTGAGTAGCTGGGATTACAGGCAGGCGCCAGAAACTCCAGCTAATTTTTGTATTTTTAGTAGAGATGGGGGTTCACCATGTTGCCAGGCTGGTCTCCAACTCCTGATCTCAAGTAATCAGCCCACCTCAGCCTCCCAAAGTGCTGGGATTATAGGCGTGAGCCACCGCGTCCAGCCCTTATTCACAAAAAGTTTAAAATCATCACAGAAGGTTTGAAAGAAGGAGGGGGCAGAAAATTACCTTTACCTGCTTTTCCTCTCTCCAGAGATTTCCTTCAAATCTGTGTCTTTCCCTCAGGCCCAGGCCTCGACTTACTGCACAGCCACACCACTCAGAGGGAGGTCTGGGCAGTCCAGTCTTGATCACAGGAAAGCCATTGACCTTCCCACTTCCTCCCCTCCAACTTGTTCTCAGCCCTGGACTTTGGGCTTTGTTTCTGCTCAAGTCCTAGGAACTGATTAATTTCATCCTGCTGGGTGGTTAGTTCTCTTTCCCTCTAGTTGCTCTCACTCCCTGACTCTTGCCTTCTGTAACAACTGGAGACAACTCTTTCAGAACCATCTCCAAGCCCCAGACCTCTCTCCGGTTTTAGTTCATAAGGCAGGTACCCTAAAATGTGAGCCTAGATCAGACAGAAACATAGCCATTGGCAAGGATTTAGGTGAATTTCCTTCCAGTGCTTTTCTAATACCCTTTTTTTTTTTTTGGTAGATATAACCATATACCTACACACATATTTGAATATCCTGCCTTTTTATTTAAAGTGACATGATAGGGCTGGGAGTGGTGCCTCATGCCTGTAATCCCAGAACTTTGGGAGGACAAGGTGGGCGGATAACCTGAGGTCAACAGTTCAAGACCAGCCTGGCCAACATGGTGAAACCCCATCTCTACTAAAAGTACAAAAATTAGCCAGGCATGGTGGCAGGCTCCTGTAACCCCAGCTACTCAGGAGGCTGAGACATGAAAATCGCTTGAACCCAGGAGATAGAGGTTGCAGTGAGCCAAGATCCTCACAAGTGTCATTGCACTCCAGTCTGGGCAACAAGAGCAAAACTTCATGTCAAAAAAAAAAAAAAAAAAGAAAGAAAGAAATCACATGATAAACTTTCTAGATAGTCTCTATAATGGTCATGATTATAGTCTCAGATAGTCAATATATATTAATAATTATTTGGCCATTCTGCCGAGTAGTGGTCTTCTGTCATTCTGCCCACTCAAATCTTTCTTTCTTTTAGGGAAATGCTACCTGCTCTCTGCATGGGATCTGGATGGAACTGTTTATCACAGTGTTTTCACTCCCCATTTTGCCTCACCAAGAGGTAAGCAGAAGACCCAAGCCAGGCCAGTTAGACAGAATCTTCAGATGACTAAGGTGTTGATCACAGTATCACCCCACTCAAGGCTTAGTTGGAGATGAGCAGAAGATGACTAAGGCTGGATCATTTTAATTAACACCTGTACCTCAAAGAAAGACTGTCAATGAGGCCTTTATACTGACACTCCTGGTTTTCATTCTTCCTAACACCATTCATTCGAGAAACTACCCAATCTTTCCAATGGTGTCTTTGGAAGACAGAAAAGAAGATAGAGTTGTTTTCTGTTCTTTGCAACCAAGGAACTCTGAATGACAGAGTTGTTGCTAGGCCTTTTGGTTATTTTTAATATCTTGAATACTTCTGTGATATATATCTTTGTGTGTGCCTGTTTATATGGATGTAGCTTTTTATATATTTTATATAATTTCTCAGAAGTGGAATTACTTAGTCAAAAGGTATGAACATTTTCTGATTCTTAATATAAATTGTGCAAATGCTTTTTAAGAGGATTATACCAATTTACATTTTGTATTGTATATATAACAAAAAGTACTACTGAAAAAAATTATAAAAAATTGTCTCTCCATTGAGGAGAACCTTGTAATAGATGACAGAGTACTTGAAATAGGAACATAGAATGTTTTCAGTTTAAAATAATTTCACTGGGTTATTTACAGAATCCTTACTGTTATGGCCAAACAGACATTTATAGGATGATCTGTACCAAATCTATGTTGGTTAAATAAATTGCTTATTCAACTGGCTTAAATCTGTGATAGAAAGATGACATTTACTGAATGTTTAATATACACTTTGCCAGGGGCTTTTTATTATTCTATGAAATCCTCAAAATGACCCTCCTATTTTTCCTATTTTATGTGTAACGACAGGAGGACTTCGAGAACATGACTAACTTTCCCAAGGGCTGTACCAGAGCCAGAACCAAAATCTACTAGGCTTTTAAGCCTACATTCTAAAACTGCATCTCAACCTCCTATTCTTACAGAACTTAAAGTTAGAAAACCAGATTGGAGGCCCGATTTCACCACTTAGTAACCAGACACACTTGGGGAATTCACTCAAGCTCTTTGAATCTTCATTTCCGAATATTTAAAACTAAGACAATAATACTTGTTCTACCTACATCATAAGATTTTGTGAGGCACATAGAGATAGTGTGAAAGAGTGCTATACAGATCAGATGTTAGTGTGATTCCTTAAATCCCTGAACACCATAGATAAATGTCTCTGACTGCTATTAGAAGTTATAAAGACTATTGGGGCCAGGTACAATGGCTTATTCCTGTCTTGCCAGCACTTTAGGAGCCTGAGGCAGGAGGATCACTCGAGGCCAGGAGATCAAGACTAGCCTGGGCAACAGAGTGAAACCCCTTCTCTATAAAAAATAAAGATAGAAAAGCTAGGTGTGGTGGCACACACCTGTAGTCCCAGATACTCAGGAGGGTGAGGTGGGAGGATCACTCTACCCCAGGAGTTTGAAGTTGCAATGAGCTGTGATTGCACCACTTGTACTTTAGCTTGGGCAGCAGAGTGAGACCCCATCACTAAAAACATAGAAAACAATAATAATAAAGAATACTGGGACCTTGGGATACCCACTCCTCTCTTTCTGCACTGAGTTGTGAAACAGCTGAGATATATACACACATCCAATGGATGAGGTTGAAGATATCAACTGGATTGGAAATTTGTGGCTTACATGTGTGGCCACAATGAGCTTTCTAACACTTCCTGACTAGGTGAGGAGACAAGTTTCCTCACCCAGTCATGGGCAGAGCTGGATACTCTGTGTTTCTCCCCCACAGAACAACCTCTTAGTGCAGGTAGGTGGACGAAAAAGTCAGCCGAGAACAGGCTACTCCAAAAAGCAGAGCAGCAAAGGCACCAGCTGGTCAGGTCCCCTTTCCTAAGTAAACAATCACATAATTCATTTGGGACAAAGCCAGTGAGATGGTGTGGAGAAAGAGAGGGAAGTTTCCTCCCAAGTTTTTCCTGGAATTCTTTATGGGAATATGAGGTTTGGGGGAATAAGGCTTCTCTTTAACAGTGAAGAATCACCAGCGCTATTAGTAATAGGAAATAGCTTACAAAGATCATGGGGACTTTTTCCTCAGCTCGTTCTGCCTCCTACTTGGCTGAGTGGAAGGGAAGGAACCATCTGTGGCTGCTGCATATGATGTTGTCAACTTTGTCATTCCACACCCACTCCTTGACGCCCCACCATGTGGTCATAAGACTCCCTTTAAAGTGTTCCTTTAAAAAACAAAATGTGTTTTGTTTCTCTAAACTACAGCTCAGTGTCAGAACCCTTGTATTGTTTGGTGTTGATGTAACCCTTTCACAATGTTTGGGCAACTTATTCTGTTTCCCTGTGGGGTCCCAGCCGGGCCAAAGTGAGTGCCAGCCTCATTTGGGCAGCAGATGCCCTGTGGAAGGGCAGAAGGAGACAAGAGCTAATTGTAACTTTGTGATTAGCTGTCATGGATGCCTGGTCCTGTCAATAGCGCTCAATAAAGCCAGAAGGCTAAACGTTCCCTTCTGCATACTGATTGCTGAGTCAGATTTCTCAGTGCAGAAGGGCTTTCTAGGCAGTCAATTTTAGAATATTAGTCTTGGTTCTTAAGTGGTTAAAATCCCTAGCTGGTCTTTAATCTGAGCCTGGAGAATTTACTTATGGCTGACATTCTGCTGCGATATTTTTACCCTCAATATATATGTCTTTCCCTCATCTCTTAGATCCCTGAATCATAGAGATATATATGTTTTATGTAATCAACTGTCTCCAGTCTCCAAGAGTGATGGGTACATATTGTGTCAGGCTGAGAGGACAGGAGAACTTTCAAATGCCTTTCTTCCTACCCCTTTTTCCTTCTCACTGTCTCCCACAAGGTCCTGCCACTTATTCTTTGACTTATCTTGACCACTGAGGTCTTTTGGGGCTACCCTGGTTCTGATTCTTCTGAAGGTTTGTTGCTTAACTCTGTCTTCAGTCCTTTGAGCTGCCTTTTCCATAAGTTCCTCTTTTGGCTAAAGTTGGCAAATCTCCTTATAACCAAAGAACAAATAAAACACTAGCTTGCAATGTTCTTTGTTGCTTCCGCCAAGCTTATGCAGCACTTCCTATCTAATCCACCCAGCGGATAGGTGAATTTAGTATTTGCTTCCTTCTATTGGGTCATTGTTTATGTGCATGTCTTGTTTCCTCATATAAAATGTGATCTTCTTAAGGGTGTTGGTCCATGTTCTAACCATCCGTAGATAACACAGCACCTAGCAATATCTTTCATAAAGGAAGTACACAGCTGGCATTTATTGATTCATTGCTCTATTGTTTCTTTCTTTATCCCCAGCATTTCCCAATAATTTCAAACATCTCCATGGGAGTGCCAGAGAAAGCAGATAGCTTTACTTACGCTACGTTTCTATGCCCATGGTAGCTAAAACAGAACCCAGAGTGACATGTTTAAATGCTCTCCTGTTATCAGGACCTCAGCCTTCTGATGCTCCATGGCTTGGGGGCTACTGTTGATTGTCTCCTCCCCAACCTACACTGTGTACCTATGCTAGGCTCTTAATGAGGACTAAGCCCCATAGTAAAAGGGCCAGATAAACAGAAAATCATTTTATGTAATTATAGAAGTGAGAATACTGAGTATTCTGGTGTTCACATAGGATAAGCACATCTTTATTTGTATGAGAAAAATAAAAAGAGAGTGAAAAATAGATTACTTTGTATGTTATTTAGAACCCTTGGATTGCAAGTGACAGAAACTCAATTTGAACAAACCTAAGTCAAAAGCAAAATATATTGTCTCATGTAACTTTCTCTCAGAGAGTCAGGGTGGAAGGGGCTTTGGGAACAAGGGAATGAGATCTAGGATTAGTTCAGTATGGGTCACCTTCCTGTCCCTGAGGTGGTAGTAGCGATGGTAGAGTCTTATCAGATGAAGGAGTGCATGTTACGATGATGGTAGGGCTAAGCAAACAAGTGCAAGGGCCACTATATCATGCTATAAATGGTTTTCTTTGATATCTTTAATTTCACAAACGCTTCCAACAAAGTAGCACACAGAAAAAAGAACCCAGGGACTCTACTAGCGGGTGCTTGTATCTTAAGACTTGTACTTACTTTTCACAGCTTACTCACTGCTTGTACCTGAGGCCATAGATGCCCTGTAACAGCTTCTACAGGGTTTCTCCTAAGCTAGCTTCCTTACGTTGTTCTCTCGCTTTTCTGATCTTCCTCTTTTCCTCACCTCTGGGACTGGTGGCTGTTTGCATGGACTGCCTTAGCTTTGCTTTTGTTTTTATCCTGGGGACAATGTCTTCAGATTATCCTAGACCAAATAAATTACAGCCCCTGGGCCAGGCTCTCCCTCCTCTAATGGACCATCTTCCCAGGGCTCTTCACCTTAGTTTAGGTCAAGCACTCTTGGAAAGGCCTAGTTAACATAGACATTCTAGCAATTGATTTTTTTGACATGTTGTAAAATCTACTCACATTTTGTAATTAAAGCATTCCCCTATGGAAACCAACACCAGCCAAGCTGCTCCTGGAATGTAGGGTGGCCTCCTAAATTTGGGATGTTCTGGAGAGCTGTATTTTGGGCATTTAACGTATTCTCCACTACTTAGGGCACAGCACTGAAATTAACACCACTAAGTTTGTCATGTCCGTGGAGTTAATCTCAGGCAGTGCAGCCTCAGGAGTGGAACTGATCTCTTGCGTGTGCCCAGCCTTTCTTCCTTCAGAAGTCAGCTGTGTTTTCTGCTGACTCTCCACAGGAACATCAGTCCTGGATCCTTAAACCACCACCTGGAGTAGTAATGCTCTCGACAGTCCTAGAAGGCGTCTACTGCTGGATCTCCTAAGCATGTGACACATTGTGAGAGAGAAATGAGAAAGCTGAGCTCTTCAGATAAAGCTTACTTTTTTACAAGCCCCCTAATTATACTGCATAATTAGTTTGAATTCACTGATAATTGTACAATTTTCCCGTAAGTCATCTACACACAATTCCCTCTCATGCAACACTTGGCTTTGCTAATACATATCTATTATGAGAGCTGTGCTTCTTAAGCGTAAATGTTTTATATGCACTAAGGCTCTTGGCTTACATATAAACGGGCTATTGAGCAATGTGGTACCGAAGTCTTTTCTCCACAGCTCTCAAATGTAAAGAATTCATTAGATTGGCTGAAATAGACTGATCTGTCAATTTCTCTGCTCACTTAAAATGAGGAAGTCATTAGCTAAGGAACAAAAAATACAATCTATGTAATTAAAAGAACAAGCTGGTTTTGCTCAGTATAAAAATAAGAAAAAGAAACCGTGTGAAAGTTAAAGTATTTATTTAATCAGTTCATTGAGGTTCTATTAAAAAGCATTGGAATTCTTTGTGTGAACTATCTTGACTCAAGTGGGCAGTGGTGAGCTCTTTGACCTTCAGTCCCTATGTAGAAAGAGGGTTTTGCCGTAAAGTCTTACATGGCACACGTGCCAAGTTAAGTGCCAAGGCTTACTCGTAAAAGCATGCTGGATTCTGTTTTAGTCTTTCAGTGAACTGAAGGGAATAAACAAATCCCTCTTGGAGAACTTCTGCTCTATCCCTGGTAAAGTCTTTCTGCCAGAATTCTATCTGGTAGTTACCTTTTCCAATTCATTGAATGTTGTCCCAGGGCCCAACATGGGTAATTTTTCTCTCATTTGTGATTAGTTCCACTACAGGGGATTAAATATTCAACTTCTTGCCTTCTGGGATATACTCAGCCTTTATCACAAAGCTCTTCCAGGGAAGGAACTTAGATTCTTTGAAGAACTTCCCTGCCCTTTCCCAAACAGATTCAGTTGTTAATTCTGTCCACCTTGCTCCATCTTCAGTGAAGGTTAAAAAGCATCTGTGGCAAGTCTTTCCTTATAAAGGCTCATTAATGCTTGATAACTGTGAGGACCTGATATAAGTCATGCGTTTTCAGAAAAAATACACACATACACACACTCACAACAATACTGCAACGCAGCTATGATGGCAGCTGTTTCCCTAAAACTTTGTATTCGGCATCCTCTCTAGACAGTGAATGCAAAAGACTTAGGTTGGAAAAGTGCATTAGGTTTTGATTAATGATTGGATGAAGGCCAGTTAAATTTTTAAATCTGAATGAGATTGCTGACTCAGGAGCCTTAGTAGCATAATGGACAGACAGTCCTCAAAGCTTTCATTAAAAGGATTTCTGGTAACTGATGTCTAGAGAAATGAGTTGAAATACAATTCACTGCACCACTCAGCTTTCATCTAAAACAGAATATGTAATCTCAAAGAACTCAACTGGTCTCTTGAAAAATTCAGGTAAAATTCAATTTAAAGAAGCTAGAGCTTAAACATTTTGAGGAAAGGAAGGCTCCAGGAGCTTTGTGACTATATCACTTTATCCTTTTGAATGCCATATTTAATTATGTTTATTGCATTTTAAGTGCAGCTGGAGTCACTGATCTGCTGATAAAGTCTGGAATGGTTTGTGGGAGGTGCTCAGGATGTATCAGAGACTGATTTGATTTGCATTTTATTTTTAACTTTGGTTCCTCTCTGAACTCCACCTTCTCACGTTTGGGTTTTTGTTGCTTAATACCAGTCATGTGACACCTAATGAGAGGGATATGTTCTGAGAAATGCATTATTAGGCGATTTTGCCATTGTGCAAACATCACAGTGTACATACACTATCACAGATGGCATAGGGTACTACACACCTGGGCTATACGGTAGAGCCTATTGCTTCCAGACTACAAACCTGTATAGCATGTTACTGTATTAACTACTGCAGGCGATTGTAACACTGGTATTTGTTTATCTAAACCTATCTACACATAGAAAAGGTACAATAAAAATACAGTGTTATAATCTTATGGGACCACTGCTGTATATGCAGTCTGTCATTGACTGAAACATTATGCAGTGCATGACTATAATAAGAACAAACTGTGCCTTTGCAGAAATCTCCCCAGAAAGCCTCTGAAACTACCTTGATCTTAGAAGCAGTTTTAGAAATCACGGCCAATGAAACTCAGCCATTGGGGCGTGCCTGAGATGTGTTTGCTCTCCTTTTGCCGTGACCCTAGAGGTAAAGGTGCTCTTTCTTCTGTTTCTCGTGTAAGAATGTAAATGTTATATTTTAGCTTCTTTTCCCAGTCCAGTAATGTTGCGTTAAATTTACAAGATTGTAGCAGTGCCTCCAAAAGGGGACAGTAACAATAGTTACTTTGAAAATGGGTGAGTTCTTTGTAGCCCTCTCTGAGTTGAACATTCTCGCGTAGGCAGTCTTCCCAGTTAGGCTGTGAGACTCTTGAAGGCAGCAAGTGTATCTTTCACTCTTCCCTGATCTCCTCAGCCAATCCTCTGCTCCACAATTCCAAAAATCAGTTACCAAGCCATTGTAATTCTTTTTCTGAAATGTGTACTAGACTCCTTTTAGGGTATTTGCCCAGTTCACGAAGACCCCTGCCCTCCTTGGAAATCTGTCCTTGCAGGCATCTGTGTTCTATATGACTCTTAATAAGACAATAGCTGATTAGAACAGTGATAGACAGTTGCCACAAGCTGGACCAATCGGATTGATATTCTCTCTCTCTCTCTTCTGTTCTCTGAAATCTCAAATTGAGATTCAGAAACAGCTCTGTAGTCTCTATTTGTGGGTAGAACTGTAACATATGAACTCAGAGCTATAAGGATGCAATATTCTATCAAGCAGAGAGAGAAGCAGAGGAAGCCAGTCTGCACAGATGGAATGCAGTAGCGCACAGAAAGAAGCAGACACTCGGAGATGTCTGACACCTTTCTGGTTACATTCCAGTCAGTTCAGAGGCCCAGACGCATTCCTGTCTGGAAGCATTGTGATCCTTTTTTGTAAATCAATAATAAATCCCTTGCCATCCTCTTTGCCTGTTAGCTTAAGTTGCCTTTTGCTCTCAAAAAAAAATCTAAAGAGTTCTAAATGATATGAAATGTCTGTTATATAGATTGTAGAATGACAGTTGCCAGGGGCTGAGAGGAGAGGGAAATGGAAAATTGCTCAATGGATATAGTTTTAGCTTTGCAAGAGGAAAAAGTTGTGGATATTGGTTGCACAACAATACGAATAGACTTTCCACTACTGAGCTGTATACTTAGATATGGTTAAGACGGTAAATTTTATGTTATGTGTATTTTGCCACCATTTAAAAAAAAAGTTTAAAATAGCCTGTTGTTGTCAGCTTCCTTGTCTTCCTTACTACTACAGCCCTATTCAGGTCTCCATGGCCCAATGTATGGACAATTGTAGTCACCAAACTGGTTTCCCCACTTCCAGCCCCTTGGAATTTGGTCCCCAGCAATCTACCCCACATGCATGGAGCAATTGATATTACCCATAAAGCACTAACACTGTACCATACTCCAAAATGCAAACCTTCATAGTTACCCATGGAATTCAGGATCAAGTTCACACTCCCCAGCCTGTCACACAGGATCCATTGAACCTTTCCAATCTTCTGACCTACTGATTCTCGATAGGAAGCAAACCCTGGCAAGACTGGTCTGCCCCATCCCAGAAGAGTACTTACTCATGCTGTTTCCCTGCTGTCAATACCTTCCTTCTCCTCACCACGTCTTGTCTTTCTTTCAAAGCCCTGGTTCAGATCCACCAATTCTATGAAACATTTCTGGCCACTGTAGTCCTCCAGGGACATTTATTATTTGAATTGAACTTCTTACCATTTAAATAGACACAGTTATTAACCTGGCTTGTTCTTCTGCTAGTTTATAAATTGCTTGATTATAGAACATAGCTTGATAATCTTTGATTTTTCCTTGATACTATGTTCTTGCTAAGCTCTTAATAATGCTTGCTGAATGAAATCAGAAATGAAGAATGGCTGCTTTACCAGTTTGTCTCTTCTGCCAAGTTTTTTACATGGATTTTACACATCAACTTTTTTACGCAATGATTAAATATGCCTAATTTAATCATCCCAGCAATACTAGTAAATAGATATGATCATTATCCTCATATTACAAATGAAGAAACACAGGTACACATAGTTTTTGTGTTTTTTGTTTGTTTGTTTGAGATGAATTCTTGCTCTGTTGCCCAGGCTGGAGTGCAGTGGCACGATCTCGGCTCACTGCAACCTCTGCCTCCCAGGTTCAAGAGATTCTCCTGCCTCAGCCTCCCAAGTAGCTGGGACTGTGTGCCACCATGCCCAGCTTATTTTTGTGTTTTTAATAGAGACGGGATTTCACTATGTTGGCCAGTCTAGTCTCAAATTCCTGACCTTGTGATCCGCCTGCCTTGGCCCCCCAAAGTGCTGGGATTATAGGCCTGAGCAAACCACGCCCAGCCAAGCACACATAGTTAAATAACTTGCAAAAAAAAAAATCATTTCTATTTATAGGAGGCAGAGTTGTGATTCTGATCTAAATCTATTTGGCTCCTATGCTTTTTCTACAATATTACCACATATCCATATCCCATACTCTATTGTTATTGCTGGCTTTATTGCCTGTTATTCCTGTGAATTCTAACCTCCTTAAAAGCAGGAATCTTATCTCAGTATATCACAGAAAATCAATAAATAACTATAGAATAAAGGAAAGAGAGAGGAAGAAAGGAGGAAGGATAGAAGAAAAGGAAGAAGGAAAGGAGGGGAGGAAGAAAGATAGGAAGGAGGGAGGAAAAGCAAGAAGGCAGGAAGACAGGAAAGAAGGCAGGAAGGGAGGGAGGGAGAGAGGGAAGAAACTCTGGAATGGTGCTTGTCTTACTCCTAAGCTTGGTAAAGTTCAGTCTTGCAGGGAGCTTGACTAGAAAACACTGGCTTATCTCTCTGAACCATATTCCCAATGTCATTGATTACTTTCCCTTGGGGAGTAATTCAACCATGTATTCACTGTATGGATGAGAGTTGATGATGAATATTCTCTTGCCTCAGTCTCTTTTGGCCAGGGTTCCTTGGCTTCCAGCCTGCTCCTTGCTTGTTTTGAACTAATAATATATGACTTTCTTTCTTATCTGGCAAATGCTGAACTGTGGCCTCTTTTAATCCTCAAGTCTCCAGATAAAAAGCAAAATATGAGACTCACTGACCAGCGCTACTCCTTACCCCCAGCTGATTGTACATGAAGAGCTATGTATGGGTGGTAACAGAGGTTTAAGGACGGATGTGCATGTAACTCCTAGCTACAGTTCCTGAAAATATACTATTGGAGATTATTTCCTTGGTTGAAGAGTCCCTTTGCCACCACATGTCAGTGCCCTTCCCTTACTTATAAAATGGGAATATTAGGGTTGTTGTAAGGATTAAATGAGTTCACGTATATAATGTACTTAGCACAGTACCTGCCACTCAATGCTATTGTTGTTGTTGTTATTGGTAGTAGTAGTAGCAGTAGTCATTGTATGAAGATGCATGATTTCCCGGGAAAGGTAGCACATTAAGGCAGGATCAGTCGAGTTACCTCAAGCAGATTAATTTACTAGGCCTTTCATGCTGTTTCCCAAAGGGATGGTTTATCAAGATGAGGAAGATGTAGATGTGATTTATGTTGGATTTAAGGTTAGTACTATGTATCCAGGTTGTGTGTGAGAAGACAAGGAGGAACTGAGGGCACAGCTCTATTTAGGAAGAACTCTGGTTTCCAAGGCACAGAAGCTAATTCAGATGAATTTAAGCCATAGGAGTTTGTTACAAAGGCACTGGATAACTGCAGGGACCAGGGAGCAGGGTGTCCACTCTCGTCCAGATTCTCTTGTATACTGTATAGTTTTATTCTCTTTCCACAAACAGACTTTCTATCCATGGTGGTGATGATAACGAACAACATTCCTTCAGTCTCACCCTTCTAGCTCTGTGACTGAAAATGCAAAGCTGCTGCTTCCCCAGCTTCAAAATTTTAAAAGAATTCCAGGGCAGAACATTTATTGGCCAGGCCTGAGTTGCATGTCTAACCTTAAAGAATTCACTTTGAATAGGGGAATTCAGAACTAGGATTGGTGGCTCCACAAATCTCACAAAAATGAGGCAGTGTAAGAACTCATTAAACGGAAATCAATAGATCTCCACTGGCTTTATATTATGTAGTTCTGGGAATCCAGATATTCAGGGCCTAGGTGGACCTGAACATTTTCCTTTAGGCAGATGGAGATCCACGTTCTTCTAGCTGCTAAAATTTTTCCATTCTCTTTGAGGGGTGTTTCCATGGAGAGGCTAGCTTTGTGGGAGAGAGTGGGAAGAAACAACCCACGCTGTTTTTCACAGGGGCACATTCTTATTGCTACTTTCATCCAGTGCTGCCCACGGATCACATATTATTCCTTACTCTTGTTGTTCCTGGGCTTTTTCTTTTCCCTTTGCATGCTGCTTACATTCCCTTCCCTAAAAGTTACTCTATTATGGGGGAGATTAGGCAAGTAGGCTGGTTTGATTATGTGCTAGTTTAACTCATAATCACATACCTCGAAAAGAAAATGTCAGACACACTGTAATAGATCCACATACAAAACATGAAGTACGAAGACCTTTTCAGAAAACTGCAGGTTTGCTGGTCACCCACAGACAAATAGAACTGATTCTATCAGAACAGGTGAGGAAAGAACACAGTGAAGAATTGTATTTAAGATCAGCTGTGGCAATGCCTAATTTTGTCTGGGAAGACCATGGCAGGGAGGGATGCAAAGGGATGAGATCAAGTTTTCAGAATAGTGCCCATATGTTTAGGGTTAAAAGTTAAATAATGAGAGAAAACAAATGCAATACAATCTTACTGGCTATCTGGTGAGGCCTAGCATGAACTGTGTCTATGATAGTGCTATTAATTTGTGATGGAGACATTGGATATTATCTTTTCCTATTTGCTAAGAGCTTGATTCAGGTACAAAGAAACAATAATTCTTTTACAGTATACAAAGCACTCTCCTATACGATGTACTATTCTCATCTTCCTGACTAATTTGATAGGCAGTAACATTATTCCTGTTTCACAGAGGGGGAAACCTGGGTTAGGGCCCAGGAACTTGGCTGGTGAGTTTGGAAAGCTTGAACAGCAATGATTATAATCTTAGTGCACAGAAGCATCCAGTAAAATTCTAAAATGTATATTTCTGTTCTCTACTTCCAGAGGGTCTGATTGAGTTAGTCTGGAGAAAGGCCTAAGAAATTGAATTTTGATTATTCACACCAGGTGATTTTGAAGCATGGGGTCTACTGAGTATGCTTATGTTGAAACATTAACCTTAGGTCCTAGGCACTAACTCAGTTGACTGTGAGAAACTGAAGTACAAAACTGTGTGACCAAATTATCTTTCTGAGCCTCAGTTTCCTCACCTGAAAAATGAATGATGATGATAAAAGTAACTAGGCTTCATGCTGAGCAATTTACATACTTCCCTTCAATTCATCTTCTTTACAACCCTAAGAGGTTGGAGTCATTGTTGTCCCTATGCTATGGGACTCAAACCCAAATCATTTCTACTCACTCTTCTTTTCATAATTGTCAGGAAGATTAGACATAGACAGTATCCAGCACATATTCCTGATGTTGAATGAATGGCAGCAGCTGTTGTAACTGCTAGTAAAACTGACAATACTGACCCTACAGCCACCACTAAAATGCTGGGGTTGAATTCAGATCATTTCTAAGGTTCTTTCCAGCTCCACCATACCCTGATTTCAGCATATCAGATATATGCTATATTTAGGGGGATGGTTCCTAGAAAGAGTATGGCAGTAACTGAACTCAACTATGCAAAAGACCCAATTCTTCCTTTAGTTGGAAATTTATTGATTTTTGTAGGTGAGTTTATAGACAAAGACTAGGAAGATACAGAGAAAAAAAGAGAAGAATTACTGTGCTTTGATGGTGGGACTATGGGTGATTATTTTATTTAAAAAATTGATTTTATATATATTA